GCCATTCCAAAATCTTGGACCTTTTAAAACTATTCCAAAATGCCGACCTGATTCTTAACACAATTGAGAAGGGTATCTTAAACCCCCGGCCAGAGGTTCTGGTATAACTGATCTTCTAGTAAATGCCACCTCAATAGAGTCGAACCAGTACATGACTGAATGCAACAGCAATCCAAGAAAAACCTGCATCTGAAGTTTTGAAAAAGGGGTAAAGTAGTGCTCCCTTCGTATTCAAATTTACTAGAAAGGACAGCTGGCTAAAAAACTTAAGGAAAAAAACCTCACAATCTCATGAACTTTTCCACGTTCTCTCTCAATTTACCACATCATCTCACAATCTCTAACTTCATTCTTTAAATATGAACTCATCTACACATTTCTAATTTCACTGCCTTTTGTGACCAGCAACAATCCCAGATAAAAACTTATGTAATTAATTATGAATTAAAGCAAGAGTTGCACTTGGACGTTTTAACTCCTTAAAGGAAACACGGAGTGAAGGCAATAGAAAACCTGGAAAAGATAATAAAATGCGTTCCATCTTTTCTTCACACATTATTCTTACAGCCCATCAACCAGGAAGCAAGCGGTGGCCAGTTTTTCCCTTTTCTTGTGCAAGCCTCACAGAAAAGCTCTCGGGACCTCCGCCCACTTACTCAATTTCTCCCCGCTACCCCCAGTCCCCGAGCAAAACGAGGCAAATACCACCCCTCCTTCTAGACCCTTCCCCAATTTACTCAACAGACCTCCCCAAAGCACTACACTTTGGGCTGCCCTGCCCCCCACCCCCTTAAAATTTCCTCGAAGTTACTGCTCCGTAACTCGGCAAGCGGAGTTCCTCTAGCAGCCCTGGCTGGATCCAATATTCTCAGGTTACATTTCTAACCTCGGGTCTTGCAGTCGTCAACCCTCCCTACGCTGGTTCAAGCGCCCAGGCTGTCCCGTCAGTCCTCTTCCCAATTTACTGTTTCCTCTCCAGCCCAATCCCCCGGCCGTCCACCCAACCCACGTAGCATTGTCTCGGTCTACTCAGGCCGAAGAGCGACCCGCAACTGCTCGAAGATTTTAGAAACAAGAATTGGGGACCTCCCTGGTGGTCGAGTGGTTGAGACTTCGTCTTCCAACACAGGGGCTGGTGGTTTGATTCCTGATCCAGGAGCTAAGATCCCACATGCCTTGGGGCCAAAAACCAAAACATAAAACGGAAGCAATATTGCAACAAATTCAGTAAAGACTTTAAAGATGGTCCACACCAAAAAAAAAGGAAGAAAGAAAAAGAAAAGAAATAAAAATTGCGTGGAAAATATCATACCTCGCATTCAAAGGAACCCAGCTGGCCACAAATGATAAAATACTTTCTTAGCAATTGGGAAGTTTCTCCCCAGTGTTGGCTAAATACATTTTGTCTAATTTCCATCCGTATTTCCATGTTTCAGATGTTGGGTGAGTAGGTGTTTGCCCTGCTGTCAGAAAAGTAAAAAATCCAACTGCAATGCAGGAGACTCACGTTCAATCCCTGGGTTGGGAAGGTCCCCTAGAGAAGAAAATGGTTACCCACACCAGTATTCTTCCCCAGAGAATCCCACGGACAGAGGAGCCTGGTGGGCTACAGTCCATGGGATCGCAAAGAGTCAGATATGACTTAGCGATCAACAGTTTCTCTTTTCAGTTTCAGTGCTGTGTAGATGGTGCCATTCAGATAAAATTTATTTTCGGTAATAACTCTTTTCTACAAAAATCCCCAATTTGAATTCTAGTTAGTTGAGGAAGGAGCAATAGTTCCTCTTGAACCCAGAGGGTCTCTACCGCCTTAAGTCGTCAGGCAAAAGGAGCACATTTTGGCTCGTTCTGCGCCCCTGTCATCCTCAGGCTCATCCATATTATAGCACTCGTCAGAAGGTCCTTCCTTCAGGAGGGGTTTCCCTGGTGGCTCAGATGGTAAAGAATCTGCCTGCAATGCAGGAGACCCATGTTTGATCCCTGAGTCAGGAAGATCCCCCGGAAAAGGGAATGGCTACCCACTCCAGTATTCCTGCCTGGAGAATTCCATGGACAGAGGAGTCTGGTGGGTTACAGTTCACGGGGTCTCCAAGAGTTGGACATGACTGAGCGACTTTCTATTCTATAATATTCAGGAGATGGATTATTTGGTCACTGTCTCCATCAGTTATCCTGGATTGAGGTGGGAAAGGAACCCTAAGAGGCAGAACCCTAAGAGGGAAATTTTAGACCGTGCCATCCTGCTTTGTCAGGTGTTGAATGAACTGTATGCCTCCCATCAGCCTTTTTAAAAGCGAATGAGCTGGCTGAGCAGGTCACGGAAGGAGTATCTGCCAATCAGAAAGCATTAAACACTCTTCCAGATGTTCACGTGTTTCAAAGAAATGTGTTAAGTTGTGCAGTCACTGAGTCATGTCCAACCCTTTGCAACCCCATGGACTGCAGCACACCAGGCTTCCCTGTCCTTCACTGTCTCTCGGAGTTTGTTCAAACTAGTGTCCATTGAGTCGGTGATGCCATCCAACCATCATCTTCTATCGCCCCCTTCTCCTCCTGCCCTTAATTTATTGTATATTAAGGACTCATTTTCACTTGTTAATAAGCACAGGAAGGGAAAAGATAAAAAAACGAGCTTCAGTGGCCATCAAGACAGCAACATTAATTTCCCTTGCCAGCAAAAAGTTAAGACTCAGCAAGTATAGAACAAGCTGAGTCCTTCAGACAAGGAGTAAGCGATAAACCATCGACCTCAACCACGAGACGGCAGCAACGCAGATTGAATTAACTGATAGACACCATTTTTGCTGATCTTTTTATTTCTTTTCATGTCATTTTATTTTCTTCAATAAGGGCAGTTTATAGGAGTGATGCTCCTGGTTTGAGGGCGGTGAGGGAGGAAGAGTTCCATGCAAGGGCAGCAGCACAGAGTGAACAAAGCAAGCCTGATGGGTGACTCCGGGCTCCAGGGCATCTCAGCGGAGAACAGAAAGCGGCCCCCGACAGTTGGGGGGCACAGTCCAGGTGCACCCACACCCATGGCGCCCAGCTTCTGGAATGTTCCGGAATGTTCTGGAATGCATATGCCCAAAGGAGAAAACCTGGCTTCAGCTGTAGTTTTAAGAGGCATTTGTGGGTGGGGGGCGAGACACATTTTGCCTGAAGTGTGGGAAACAAGCTTTTCCATCTCCTGCATTGGCAAGCGGGTTCTTTACCACTAGCAACACCTGGGAAGCCTGTGTGTGTGTGTCCTAATCTCCTCTTATTCAGAGTTGTATTGGATCAAGGCCCATTCTAATGACCTCATTTTAACCTCATTATTTCTAAAAAACCTTATCTAAACACAGTCACCTTTTGAGGCCCTGGGGGTTAAGCCTTCAACTTAGAAACTTAAGGGTGGGGGAGGGGACACGATTCAGCCCATAACACAGGCTCCATCTCTTGTCCCCAGTCAGCTCTGTTCTGTGGCCCTTCACTCTGCGGATTCGGCACCCATCCCATTTTTTCCTCTCTGCTGTTGAGCGGCCTCTAAGCGATCATAAAGAGCAGCATCTCCACTAGCTGGGATCTCCCTGTGGGGCGCAGGTAGCTGCCACCCCTCCCCCCGCCCCCAGCACATACATTTGCATTTGGCGGGTGTGATCATGTTCACACACACACGAACATGAATACACACCTGTACCTGGTAAGCTGTGTGAGACCCTGGTTTTGAGAACACAGGTGTGACTCGGACCACCCCATCCCAGAACTTCTCCTGTGTGTATCTGGCCCCACGCTCTGCTCCTCCAGCCCAGCCTCACCTCCCAAACCCCAGCGTTGTCGCCCTCACTTCCCACTAGACCCCAGCTCTTGGCTTGGACAGATCTGATGCCAAGGTGCTCAGTGCTGGTTAATCTGTTCTGTTGCACAAACGTGCCTCAGAGGCCAGGGCGGTGCCAGGCATGGAGCCAAGGGGCAGTGACATGGACAAGAATGTCCCAAGGAATCTGCCACTGGAAGCTCAGAGCCGGGAGCTTGATACCATTTCAGGCTCTGATCGTGTCCCAGGGCTTCTCAGACGTCTGCTCTAACCTTGATGTCTGCCCAGAGAAGTAGGCAAAAGTGCCCCCACTTTAGGGCTTCCCAGGGGCCACTAGTGGTAAAGAACCCGCCTGCCAATGCAGGAGACCTAAGAAATGTGGATTTGATCCCTGGTTCGGGAAGATCCCCTGGAAGAGGGTATGGCAACCCACTCCCGTATTGTTGCCCGGAGAATCCCCTAGACAGAGGAGCCTGGCGGGCTACAGTCCACGGGGCCACACAGAGTTGGACACGACTGAAGCAACTCAGCACACATGCACATGCCCCCGCTCTACTGAAGGGAAAACTGAGGTTCACGGAGGTTAACCGGCAACGCACAAAAGAGGAACGCGGGCCTGTCTGCCCTACGGCCTGGAGAAGGAAGACTTCAGCTAGGAGACTCTGCCCGGGCTGCGTCACTTGTCCCTCTCCCCCCCATGCCCCACCCCCGCTACAGCCGCCAGCATCCTGTCCCGTCTCCCTGTAGCAGTGGGCGGCCTGGGGAAATCCTCCCCCAACTCTGACAAATGAACTGACACACGGGCCCCAGGTCACGACCTCCCCTGATTTGTGGCATTAAGGACTCAGTTTCAAGGCCAGGGGTCCTTTAGCTCCAGAAAGCCCCCAAAGACCCTCCTGGGGTCAGAGCTCACCAGCCTTTGGGGGAAAACCGGCCACCCTGTGCAGGCTGCCTCCCCACCTGCTGCCTGAGAGGGGCTGACGGGCAGAGGGCCGGCCCAGCGGCTGTTTGTCTGGGTGGAGCCTGTCGTCACACGGCTTATCTGCCTCCGGTGGGCCCCTCTGTGCCTCGCTGAACCTCTGTGTTCGCTGTCACCTCACCGCTGCTTCCATCCCCTCTGCTTTGCCCCAGGGCCCTGCTGCACTGCGCTCTGCTCCCAGAGGAAGCCGGAGTCAACCGAGGCCACCGACCCACCACTGGAGACATGGTAGGGCCAAATGGCACCGCGGGTCGGGTCAGTTCGGCCGGTCAGCCCCACCGGCTACATCCAGACTGAGCCCGTGAACCTGGCTTGGGGCGGGGGCAAAATTGGGCAAGTGTGGGGCTGAGGGGTGGCCACAGGGAAGCCTTCAAATTGGACTCGAGGCTCTGAGGAGCCGCTGGGGTGCTGGGGAAGGGATAGAAGAGGAAGGCCTGAGCTGCGCTCCTGTATCTTTCCTGGGTGGCTGTGTGAGCTTGGGGAAGTTACTGCACCTCTCTGGGCCTCAGTTTCTGCTCCTGAAAATGAGCATTGATATCATCCATCCGGTGGTATCGCTGTAAGGCCTAAAAAGGTATGCCATGTGGAGGAACCCAGGCACACAGCAGGGGTCCCTCAAATGGAAATCCATTTCCCAGGGCTCCCTGCTTGGCCTCCAGGCCAGGAAAGGCTGCCATGGAGCCTCCCAGATGTGCCCCTTCCTGCAGGAGAAGACTGGCAGGAAAGCTGAAGGCCAGTTTCCTTCCTTCTTGGGCCACCGGGCCGGCTCATGCAGCCCCTCCCCCACTGCCCTACTCAGCCCAGTGCGCCTTGTACCACTGGGCCCTTCAGAGGGGTCACCACGCCGAAGCAGGAACCAAATACTGCTTTCTCCAGCCACACCCCTGATCTCACCTCCCTGCTTCTCCTAAGAGTGCTGAGTTTTCTGCATGATCTGCCCAGCCCCCCAACCGCCTCCCTCCACCATGAGCTGATGGAACAAAATGGTAGCAGGAAGCCCCCACATGGCCACTTGGCTTCAGAACTTCTGACATGTGTTTAGGCTTCCCAGGGGCGCAGAGGGGTGACGAGGGCAAACCCGGAGGCTGGCTCAGCGCCATGGCCGCAGCCTCCCGTCTCTACAATGTCAGGGCAGTGGAAGGATGGGGGTCAGGCAGTCTGAGACCACTCACTGGAGGTGACTCAGCTTTTGTCCTATCACATAGGTCCACGGGTACAAGGGGGTCAAATTCCAAAACTGGGCAAGGACCTATGGCTGTTGCCCGGAGATGTACTTTCAGCCCACATCTGTGGAGGAGATCAGAGAGGTGAGTATCTTGTCTCAGAACAGTGCCCGATGGTCCAGCCACCAGACCTCCAGTTCCATCCGGATCAGGAATGTGGCTCAGAAATGCCCCCAGAGAGGAGGCTGAGAGGAGGACTTCCCGGCTAAGACCCCCATCCCCACCCCAGAATTGCTAGTTGGGCAACAGCACCATGAGGTTTGCCTCCAGCTGAACTCTACTTTCACGTGACCACCTGGGGTGCCCACCAGTGACTGCCTGATTGTTATTTCTGCCTCAGGTCTCTTCTCTGAGCTGCAGATTGGCATATGACTTCTTTCATCAGAGACATAGCAAACTTTGATGCCCCGAAGGATGTTTTTGATGTTTGTTTGCCTTCAACCCATTCTATTGCGGTCTTCCTAACTCTATACCAACCACCTGGTTGCTCAAACTGGAAGCCAGGAAGTAGGTCACTGTCCCTTTTTTACCCTTATCTGACTTCAGCAAGTCCTGGCTTGGAAGTTTCTAGAATCCACCTCCTTCTCTCCAACACTGGTGTCACAAAGCCCCAGCCACCACCCCTTCCCCACCTGTCACGGCCTGAAATGGCCTCACCACTGATCTCTGTCCGACTCTGTGACCCCGTGAACCATAGCCCACTAGGCTTCTCTGTCCAGGGGACTTTCCAGGCAAGAATACTGGCGTGGGTTGCCATGTCCTTCTCCAGGGGATCTTCCTGACCCAGGGATCAAACCCGCATCTCCTGCTCTGGCAGGCGGATTCTTTACTTTTGATCACAGGACAGACCAAGCATTTTCCTACCTCTGTATCTTAGCCCTTGCTATTCCCACTACCTGGAATGCCTGACCCTTCACTTTTCACGGGACCAACACCTTTGCATCCTTTAGCACTCAGGGTAAATCACCTCCTCAGAGACTTTCAGACCACTTCATCTGAGGATGTCCCCATCTTCTGCATCTCGGCTCCTTGCTTATTTCTTTCACTGCATTCAAAACCTGCAGCTACTTCACTGACGTGGACTTTTTCATACTTTTTTCTCTCTCCCCCATAAGGATGTAAGGCCACGTTTTTCCTGTTTTCCATTGCATCCTTAGCACGCCTAGCCCTTTATCGGGCACACAGGAAGCACTTAATGAATATTTGTTGAATGAATGAGTGAATGAATGAATGAATGGACAAGACCCAACCTCTGCTCTTGAAAGGCTTACCCCAAGACAGTTTGCATAGGACTAACCCAGAGGATGCAGATGTTTCACTAGAATTAGCAGAGCACAAAGAGGGGAGAGATTCACATGTCTGTGAGCCTGTGCATGCGTGGGAATGACATGGCCACCACTGGTGATCAGCACCACCTGCTTCATATCTGTGGTCTCACCTGTCCCCATCCATACCTGTGAGGTAGTGATTATTAGCCCATTTAACAGAAGGGCAAACAGTCTCAGAGAGGCTTTGGAATTTCCCCTTGTTATTAAATAGTATCAGAGCCAGATTTTAAACCCGGATTCAAAGCCCCCAATTTCTCAAGCAGAAGAATGAAGAAAAATGATCACTGAGTCAGCCTGGAGGATGAATAGGAGCTCAAAAGGGAGCTGGGGTAGAGCAGTGGGAGATGAGGAGAGGACAGGTGAAGAATGATCAGAGTCTTCAGTGGCTGGGGGTGGGAATGTTTGCGGAGCAGAGAGGGCGAAAGAGGAAGGCTAAGAGGTGGAGTGGCTTTGAATGGATCCAAGGGCCTTGAATGCCGAGAAAACAGGCTTCATACTGAGCTAAGAGCTGATGTCCTGTGTGCAAAGGTTCTTCTGAGCTGTGCTGGCCTGCACCCCGCTCACTTCCTGGCCCTTCTCTCTGGCTCTTTCCTGGAGTGGCCTGCACGGCGGCCTCCAGCCAGGCAGCGCCTGGGGGACTGGGTATGCAACGCCTGGGTGGCCCAGCTGCCTCGCAGAGAAAGGCCTGGGCTGAGGCTGATGCAGGTGCTGCCTCCACAGGTGCTGGCCCTGGCCAGGCAGCAGAACAAGCGGGTGAAGGTGGTGGGTGGTGGCCACTCACCCTCAGACATCGCCTGCACTGACGGCTTCATGATCCACATGGGCATGATGAACCGCGTCCTCAAGGTACTCGGAGCTCTGGGCTCTCTGCCTCTGCTGCACCCCATGCCACTTCCCTGACTCCAGGGTGGAGGTGGAGGTTCCTTTTCCCTCATGCCTCATCCCCTCCTGGCCTTTGAGTCCAAAGTGACCCCCCCCATTCCTGGTCCACTTGTGATCACCCTCACCCCCCACAGGGCCTGCCCGGGACTCCTTCAAGCCTCACATCTGGTCTGTGTGCACCCTTGTGGCCACAGAGAGGATGTCCACAAGTCAGGCCTCCAAAGGTGGATTCATGACAAATCCAGGATTTACACTTAACTTGTTTTGCATATTGGGAAACTGAAGATCAGAGGGGGGCGTGACTGGCCTAAGGTCACACAGCTGACCAGTGGCAGAGCTGGCCGCAGACACGGGAGTCTGACACCAGCCCTGTGCTGGGATACATTCATTCAAGCGGCTCACACCCTCCCCTCCCCTGCCCACAACCAGGAGCCTGCCAGGGATGAGGGAGCAGGCCATGCAGGGCTCTTGTTCCCACCTGACAGGGCCAGCTCCTCTGAGCTGTCATTTTCGCCTGGTACCTGCCCCTCCAGCTCTGCTAGCAGAGATTCTAGATTTCTCTGTACTATTTATTTCCTGATTTGCTCAGGCCAACCATCTCCACCCCGTAGAAAATGCTCTGGTCAAAACATCAGTCATGGCAGGAATTAACTCTGATTGCTAATTAGTGAGGACCGGGCTCTAGTAATTGATTTTGCCCAGGCTCTGTGCTCAGGTCGGTGAAATGTGTGTTCTGGAGTCCACAGATGTGAATTCTTATCTGGTTTCCACTGCCGATGTTTGTGTGACCTTGGGCGAGTGACTTAGAGTCCCTGAACTTTAGTCTCCATGCTGTGAAATGGAAAGACTGCTCCTCCCCTCCCTTCCCCACCACCCCCGGGCAGCCATGGGGGTGTCAGGGCATAGAACCACTGTCCCACGTGGCTGAGGAGACCTGGGCGCCAGTCCCAGCCCTATGGTGACCTTGAGTAAACCTCCTCTCTTCCCTGCCCCTTATTTCTTTCCCCTGTGACTAGAAGGGTTGCAAGGACAGTCACTGAGCCCCAGCACTCTAGGGCTCTGCCTGCACCCCCTTTTGGCTGCCTGCAGCAGGAGGCAGCTTGGGCTGACTGTGGGCTGGGACAGACATGCTCGTACTCACAGCCTTGCATGGCTGCAGGACGAGGACTGGGTGACTGCCTAGCTCATCCTAGCCTGTGCCGGTCTCTTGCAGGTGGACACAGAGAAGAAGCAGGTGACCGTGGAGGCCGGCATCCTCCTGGCTGACCTGCACCCGCAGCTGGACAAGCATGGCCTGGCTTTGTCCACGTAAGAGCCACCTCGCCCATTCCCAGGGCAGGTGCCAGTGATGACCATTGCTCCCCACCCTGACCTCAGCCAGACACTCAAGGATCTGGCAGGGGCCAGAGAGGAGCACGTTTTAGGATGCACCTGTTTCTCTGGATCCCTGTCCCATCCCCACAGGGCACCCATCTCCCCACCCCCGGGTGTCCAGGGGCCATTATATGAGAAGAGAAAGAAATTGTTGTTTAGTTGCTAAGTCATGTCTGACTCTGCAAGCTGAACTGGGGACGAGATTCCCAGGCAGGAGATGGACCTGAGCTCTGAGGGGCCTCGCACCACAACCCTGGGAGGTATTGTCCCAGGAAGCCTGACTGTGTCCCTCCTCCTCCCCCCAGCCTGGGAGCTGTGTCAGACGTGACAGCAGGTGGCGTCATCGGGTCTGGAACCCACAACACGGGGATCAAGCACGGCATCCTGGCCACACAAGTGAGTTCACTTGCTTCGATGCTGACCACCAGGGAGAGGGGAGGATGGGCCACGGCCCCTTCACCCTTGTCACCGGTGCTCCTGACAAGCAGGCATTCCAGGATGGTGTCGGCAGAGCTCTGTGGGGGCCTTGAACACACCTGGGTCTCCCTTCTGATGGAGACTCTGCAGGGCCCTCCAGAAACATTGTCTCTCTGAACCTCATGAGTCCCCAGCAGACACAAGTGACAAAGCCACCCCCGTGTGTGTTGACACAGTTCCCCATCTCTGGAGAGCTTCCTGGCCACCTTGGGAAAAGGGCAAGCAGAGCAAAGGGTTCCATCCCCAGGGGAAGCTCTGAACTGGAAGCCAGGCAGGGCGAAGGGCCTTTCCAAGTTAGCAAGTTGGGCAGGAGCCAAGAAGGAACCGAGCACACAGGCCTGGGATCACACCTGACCTTCACCCAAAAGCTTTTAAGACTATTTTGATGTGGACCACTTTGCTCCCCCGGTGGCTCAGACGGTAAAGAGTCTACCTGCGGTGCAGGGGACCAGTGTTCAATCCCTGGGTCGGGAAGATCCCTTGGAGAAGGAAATGGCAACCCACTCCAGTACTCTTGCCTGGAAAATCCCATGGGTGGAGGAGCCTGGCAGGCTACAGTCGGTGGGGTTGCAAAGAGTCTGACAAGACTGACTGACTTCACTTTCTTTTCTTTCACTTTTTACAATCTTTATTGAATTTGTTACAATATTGCTTCTTTTTTATGTTTTGGTTTTTGGCATGTGAGATCTTAGCTCCCCAGCCAAGGATCAAACCCCCTGCCCTCTGCACTGGAGGCAGAGTCTTAACCACTGGACTGCCAGGGAAGTTCCCACCCAAAAGTATTTCTTAAACTTCATGGGAGTCCAGTATGGGGCACAGGTTTGGGACTCAGATGTGGGCCCAAAACCTGCCTCCCACATGCATTGGGTGTGCACATGTGTGCAGGTTGTTTAACTCATCTGGGCATCCCTGTTTTCAGCTGTTACCTCAAGAGAATCCTCCTCAACCTGTGGGGGATTGGGGGTTAATGAGACAGTCTGTATGAGAGCCTGGGGGCCCAATGACAGTTCACGACACGCGTTGGGAGTCACCCCTTCCACCTGCAATGCAGGAGTCCCTGGTTCAATTCCTGGGTCAGGAAGAGCCCCTTGAGAAGGGATAAGCTATCAACTCCCCACCCCTTCCACCTGCAATGCAGGAGACCTGGGTTCGATTCCTGGGTCGGGAAGATCCCCTGGAGGGGGGCATAGCACCCACCCCAGTATTCTTACCTGGAGAATTCCATGGACAGAGGAGCCTGGTGGGCTACAGTCCATGGGGTCACAAAGAGTCTTTCACTTTCACAAGGGACTTTCACTTTTACTTTCTTTCCCTTAGGAAGCCCAGGTAAGCAAGACAGGCCCTGGCACGTGGGGATGAGAGCTCCTCTGTTTAATTCTACAAGTATGCTGATGGCAGGGAGCAAGGGGAAGACACTGGCATCTTTAATATCTACTGTCCCCCAGGCACTTAGCTGAGTGCTTCACCTACTCTCTCTGAGATGGTTATGACCCTCATTTCACAAATGAGGAAACAGAGAGGTTAAGTCACACATCCAAGATCACACAGCTGGTGAGTCAGGGCCCTCCTTTATTATCGCTGGACCCCGCTGCTGTGTTTCACTGGCCAGTGCTCAGCTCAGCCCCAGATCTCCAACAAAGTCTGTTTGTTTGTTTTTAATAAAGATCATCCTAACGCCCTCACTCCCACAGCAGGCCACTGTGCCCCACTTCTGCCAGCTTCTCTTCTCTGGTTCTGGTCGCTGTTAATCAGAATTAGTTCAGCTTTATCTGTTCTCTCACCCTGGGCACCCCGCCGCCAACTGCACATGTCAAAAGCAATTTCCGTCCCAGTGAGCGGATAGCAGAGTGTGGACAGGGACTTCAGCAGACAATGAAGAAGGGTTCCTCTGGAAACAGGGGCCAAGGGCAAGGAGAGTGATGTTCATCACCTGTCTCCAACTGGGCGGCCCACTCTGCAGAGCCCAGAGATTCCGCGTTTGGTAGGGCCAAGTAGGGGATTCTAGATCCAAAGGCAAGGGAGAGGTCCCCAAATGAGAAAATGGACTGGACCTGCCCGAGATGGTGCTCAGGAGGGCAGCAAGCAGACAGCCTGCAAGAGACTCTGGTCCCCAGGGCTGCGTGTTGGGACAGCATGGCCAGCTCCCCACCCAGGGCCTCGTGGCTCTTTGGAACTGATCTCATCTTAGCTCTCTTCCAGGCAGAGGACAAGCTTGCTGAATCCTGACTTTGAAATCCACAGGATGAGCAAGGCAGCTGGGGGAGGGCAAGCCACTGGGGTGCCATGGAAATGCCTGTGATGGATGGGCCCCCTCCCTGCTGAGGGCTGATGCCACCCAGACACAGCCCCCTCACTCCATTTCTCCTCCTACCCTCCCCCAAGACTGAGGCTCCCTCGGTCTGGGATTGGAAACCTAGCTGGGAAAGTCCCCAGGGTCAGATACATGGTGGGACTCATGGCCAGATACATCTGGGAATCGGAGACACTGGGCCTCACTTGCAAGGACAAACAAGGAAGTGAGGGCTTTACCGGAAGCCTGGGATACTGAAGCGTGGTTCTTCTCCCACTGCCAGGTGGTGGCACTGACCCTGATGATGGCCGACGGGACCATTCTCGAGTGTTCCGAGTCCAGCAACGCAGAGGTATTCCAGGCTGCGCGCGTGCACCTGGGCTGCCTCGGAGTCATCCTCACAGTCACACTGCAGTGTGTGCCCCAGTTCCACCTGCAGGAGACCACCTTCCCCTCAACCTTGAATGAGGTACTGTCTCTCATTCCCCACTGCTCAGCCTCAAAAAAGAAATGGAGGACATTAATAAGTCATGCTCCTCTGAGCTCTGCAGGTCCCCAGAATGGGGCAGTGAGCTGACCTCACCAGCCCTTCTTTGACCCCAGAATACTGTGGCAGTATCCCTTTGTGAGCAGGTCAGGGGAGCTCAGAGGAGCTGGGTGATAAGGTGCAGAAAGGATGGCTTCTGAATGATGGCAATGTTTTTTGAATGAATGAAAATCCATGTTGGTTAGCTGGAAAAATGGATGATTGGATGGATGGATGAATGGACACGTGGATGGATGACTAGATGGACAGATGATCAGATGGATGGATGAATGGATGATGGATTGATGCATGGACGGATGGATAGCATGCAATAGACCAGAAATGCCTGATAAGCATGGATCTATCCCTGGTAATTGCTAACTACAGGACTCAAATCTATGGTTCCAAGTTCCTCAGCATCTGAGCTCCTCCATAGTCACCTCACCATTCAATATGAGTAGACCCTCTGCACAGATGGAGTTGGTAATGATGTGAACACTACTGGCCCCATATAGTTATGGTGGAATTTGGGGTCAAACTGAATGCTGGCAGTACCATCCCCAAGCTGTGACCTTGAGTCAGCCATTGAACCTTGCTGAGCCCCAGTTTCCTCATCCAAAAACAGTAAATCATGTTTACCTTAAAGTATTGAACCTGAGCATTAAATCAGATAACACTTGAAAAGTACCTAGTTCAGTACTAAAATATGCTCCTCAGGGTACCTAGGCAGTGAAAAATGGAAAATACTGTTATCTAGCATCTGGTCTAAAAAATCCTTACCACTGGAATTTCTAATACATTAAACCTCACGGCAAAGGATTTAAATGCAGAAGGTCCTTTATGCAGAGGCATGGTGTTTGATGGGGCTTTCCTGGTGGCTCAGCAGTAAAGTATCTGCCTGCAACGCAGGAGACGCAGGAGTTGCGGATTCAATCCTTGGGTTGGGAAGGTCCCCTGGAGGAGGGCATGGCAACCCACTCCAGTATTCTTGTCTGGAGGATCCCATGGACAGAGGAGCCTGGTGGGCTAAAGTCAGTAAGGTTGCAAAGAATCGGACCCAGCTGAAGCAACTGAGCATGCATGCACACATGGTGTTTGGTGGAACTTTAGCCCCAGAACTCTCCACTGGTGGCTGAAAAAGTGATTCCAGGGATGCTCTTGGGCACGGGTCCCCATTCCTTGAGATCTAATGCCTGATGATCTGAGGTGGAGTTGATGCAGTAATGACAGAAATAAAGTGCACAGTAAATGTAATGCACTTGAATCATCCTGAAACCATTACCCCATCCTGGTCCGTGGAAAATTTGTCTTCCATGAGACCAATCCCTGGCGCCAAAAATATTGGGGACTGCTGGTCCAGGGGATGCGGCACTGATTCCTAGAGCATCAGTGCTGAGCACGTGTGGGCCAGTCTTGGCAAATGAGTTGCCTGATGCTTTGGCCCAAGAAAGGATTACAAGGACATTTCATGGAATTGTTTGGCAGTGATACTGTGTGGCTAAGCCAGCGAGCTCCAAAAGGGTGGAACCAGTCCACTTGGAGTCACCCCAGACTCTGAGCCACCTCAAGAGACTGCTTCAACTAGCCACATCCCCAGACCAGTGTTAAGGGGCTGATCTAAGCTTCTTGTTCACTCCAAGCAGGCCCTAGCTTCAAATATAGTCACATGCCAAAGATGAGGGCTTCTACACGTTGCATTTTAGGTCAATGCAATTCAGTGCAAAGCAGAGGTCAACACTCCCCTCAGCGACTGGCTGGGAGAGTAGACGTGGTCACCCACGGAGAGAGGGCTTGGGTGAGGAGAGAAGGAGCCTTAGTGCCGAGTGTCCAGGACAGAGCAGCCAGACGAGTCCAATGCTGTGAGGAGTTGGGGAGCAACACCAGGGTCTGGTCATCAGGAGATCACTGCTGACCTCAGAGAGCATGGTGTCAATGGAGCAGCGGGCAGGTTAAGGGGTCGGCATCTCAGGCAGAGAGAGGAGATGGGCAGAGATCACCTTCAACCAGAAAGGGACCACCTTCCGGCCTCTCACTTAGGTCAGAACTTGTTCATTTTTAAGCTGAATAATTTGACCCAGAGATAAAAAGATTGCTTCTTTTGCCAGTAGGATTGGCCCCGGGGCTCCTACCAGGACCAAGCCCTTCAAACTTTTGGAGCCTTTTTATTTTTTAAATTATTTATTTGTCTGCATCAGGTCTCAGTTGCAGCATGTGGGATCTAGTTCCCTGCCCAGGGATCGAAACCAAGTCCCCTGGATTGGGAGCGTGGAGTCTCAGCCACTGGACCAGCAGGGAAGTCCCTTCTTTGCCGTTTTAAAAGTAGGGTCAAACTAGATGAAACCTGAGGTCTTTTCCAGCACTGACGTTGCTTGGATACAAAACTGCCCCGCCTCATCGCCCCACCCTGGAGACACAGGGTCCTTCTCTCACCTGGAGCATCTGGGGATGTTGGGTCTTCTTATCCCTGGGGAGGGGCGTGAATCCTGGTGTGGAGTCTCCCATCATTCCCCTGTGACCCCAGCCCCTCCCTTGAGGGCTCACAAGGCTGAATGCCGCGCCGCCTCCTCTTCTGTGAGTCAGCAGGTCCTCTGTGGATTCTCTCCCTCCCCTCTGCACAGCTCCGGCTGCCCGTCCGCCCGGAGCTGCATGGGTCTCCACCAGGCCCATCATCAGTGTCCATCGCACCCGTGGACAAGCCTTCCCTGCCCAGTCTCTGGCCACAGACAGGGACTGCGCAGAGGGCGGGTGGCATTTACAACCCTATGATTTCCTCCCAGGGGCGTGTGCTATCCATGGCCCTGCATTCAATTCTCTTTTACCCTCTCTGCTCAGAGCAGCCTTTAGAGGGCCCCTTCAAGGGGCTGGGAATGCTTGTGGGGAAGAGTAAGATGTAGATGGGAAGCCGAGTCCCGGGCTGCTCCCCTCAGAGGAGCGCAGTCCAGAGAGGAAGGGAAGAGGCCCGATCAGAAAACTGTCCCCGGAGCAGCTTCTCCTCACCCTTGCTCCCCCTGAATGCTTTCCTTCTGAAAAGAAAAATGATGCGACCTCATTTCCAGGAGCAGGCAGGTGCCTGAGAACCAATATGTGCTTAGTCACTTAGTCGCGTCCGACTCTTTGCAGCCCCATGGACTGCAGCCCACCAGGCTCCTCTGTCCAGGGATTTCCCAGGCAAGAATACTGGAGTGGGTTGCCATTCACTTCTCCAGGGAATCTTCCCTACCCAGGGATCGAACCCAGGTCTCCCGCATTCAGAGCAGATTTACTGTCTGAGCACAAGGAAGAATTTATTAAACATCCACCCCTCTCTGAGCTTTTCCCTCTCCTGCCCACCCCCATGCTGTGTGTGGTCCATCTCAGACGCAGCTCCCTGCTTCCCAGATCTGATTCTCTTATCTGCACCTCAACGCAGCTTCTGAAGGCTGCTCAAAGCCATCTGAAGGGAAGGGAGAGTTGGAATCAGTGCTTCTGGGCAGAGCGGCCAAGAAAGGGGTGGCCTCCCTGGCTTCTTATGACAAGGTCTCAGCATTCCCAACTTTCTGCAGTCTAACTGGTATGAAATCTGCAGTCTAACCGAGAAGACTGGAGGATTTTGGAAATGGCTGTCAACCTCTGCCCTTTATGCCACACAAACCATAATGAGATGTGAGAAGTACAGCCGCTGCCTGGATCACTGCCTCCCCCAACTCCACGGGAAGCAGGGTGGTCCCTGGGACACACCGACCTCGCCAGCAGCATCCCAGTGCCCGCCACTCTCCTGGGCAGCCGGCCACTGACACCTGGGCAACCCCGACCATGAGACAGGGAGCCCTCAGCTTCCGCTCACAGGCCTGGTGATCAGTCCTGTGAGTCAGTCCAGTAGCGGGGCTCATTTTGGAGGGGACGGAACCCTCTAGAACCCCTCCTGCCAATGACATGCCAAGGAAGATATTTCCTCTGGGGCCCGCCCCCTTTGATGGTGCTCCCAGGAACTACCAGTCAGGCTGAGGAAACATGATCCTGGGGACCTTCCTCCCCCAGATAGGACTGTCTGAAGGCCCTGAAGAGAGTCACAGTGGGATCGGTCCAGGGCAGGGGCTCCATCTTTCAGTGACCACGCAATGCTCTGGTAGGGACGCAGAGGGCACAGAACTGGAGTGTGCGTGCTGTCCGCCTCGAGGCGCTTAGAGTTTCACATGGGGGGAAAGATAGGCCTTGTCCCTCTGAAGCAGGGAGGAAAAGAAATGACAGATGCCAGGACACAGGCACAAGGTATGGTGTGAAAGTGGCTCTCGTGACTCCATTCTGGGTGGGAACCTGGGCTCCCAGAAAGGGGTGCCACTGTTACTTTACTGCTAAGATTCTGGGCAACGGAGGATGGCCCTGGAGGCTGGGACAGGAGAGAAGGGGGGATCTTCTGCTCTCTCAGTCCCATCCTCCAGGCAGAGCTCCAGAGCATGTTCCCTAGTCTCCCAGGAGAAAGGGTTCCGCCCAGAGGTGATGGGTCATGGGTCCATCACCCAGTCAGGGTGAAAGTGATAGTGACAGGGACCTGGTGTTTCTTGCTGAACTTTTCACGGGTCTACAGCCCAGCAGAAGAGGGCCTCCTCTTCAAATAAGGAATCATAGGGCCCTTTATTTTCTTGGACTCCAAAATCACTGTGGACAGTGACTGCAGCCATGAAATTAAAAGACATTTGCTCCTTGGAAGAAAATCTATGACAAACCTAGACAGCATATTAAAAAACAGAGACATCACTTTGTGGACAAAGGTCCATATAGTGTTTTCCCAGTAGTCATGTATAGATGTGAGGGTTGAACCGTAAAGAAGGCTGAGTGCCAAAGAATTGATGCTGTCAAATTGTGATGCTGGAGAAGACTCTTCAGAGTCCCTTGGACTGCAAGGAGATCAAACCAGTCAATCCTACAGGAAATTAACCCTGAATATGCATTGGAAGAACTGATGCTGAAGCTGAAGCTCTGACATTTTGGCAACCAGATGTGAAGTCGACTCATTAGAAAAGACTCTGATGCTGGGAAAGATTGAAGGCAAGAAGAAAAAGGGATGACAGAGGATGAGATGGTTGGATGGTATCACTGACTCAATGGACATGAGTTTGAGCAAACTCCAGGAGATGGTGAAGGACAGGGAACCCTGGTGTGCTGCAGTCCATGGGGTCTCAAAGAGTCGGATATCACTGAGCAACTGAACAACAAGAAAGAACCCTGCAGCATTTACTGTGTCCAAGTCCCTAGGCCAGCAGCTCTGGGGTGAGGGTTTAGGAAACTGGCCCACAGGGAAGATCTGGTTCACTACCTGCTTTTATAAATTAAGTTTTATGGACATACCGCAGTGATCCTCATTCATGTATTGTCTGTGGCTGCTTTCACGCTACCACAGCAGAGGGGAGGAAACAGCGCAAAGCCTAATATATTTACTATCTGGCCCTTAACAGAAAACTATGTGCTGATGTCTGCCCTCGAGGAGAAACCAAATGTGAATGAGATGCTTGATGAATTTCAGGACAGATGTATGCTTCCATACCTGTAATATGCTTCTGGGATGGATGTAATATAAATAAAAACCACTTAGAATGGAAGGAGACAGCCCTGGTGGGGGTAGGGGTGGGGTTAAATTGAGCATTTGAATTACAGCACATCTGAATTCAGATCTGACCCTTTCCACGTGGTCACTTGTGGGCAATGGTAACAGTACTGGACAGTGTGTGTGGAAGAAGTCCTCTTAATGCTAGGCTGTTTGGGCCCAATTCCATTGGAAATGGAGAGCTGCTGGGGATTTTTGAGCTGTGTCTTGGGATGCTTCCCTGTAGATGTTGTCTGGAAAGATGAAAAATGGGGCAAATTATGAAGCTAGTGCAGAAGAGCCAGTGAGAGCTAAGAAGGGCCCAGGCTAAGCCACGTCAGCAGGAGCAGACTTTAGGGGAAGGCTGGAGAGATATGAGCAGAGATGGAATAGGGTGACCCACAGCCTGGGCTGACGTGTGACAGGGAAGGTTCGGGATAGCAGCCAGGTCACTAGAAGGCAACAATGGTCCGCCCATTCCTGTATCTCCTGGGTCCCATGAAGCATCAGTTAACAAGTCAGGGGTCCTCTCTGAAGTGATGACCAGGATTCAGAATTCTAAAATTCCACTGCTCCCAGGTGCTCCAAATTGAAGTTTTAGGTGGGCTCATTCCTTGGTGTTTCACCTTGGTTTTTCCTTCCTTTCTGATCAGATATGGAAATCACAGGTTGTTTTTGTTGTTTTCCAGTCACTAAGTCATGTCCGACTCTTTGTGATCCCATGGACTGCATCGCACCAGGCTTTCCTGTCCTTCACTATCTCCCAGAGTCTGCTCAACTTCATATTCACTGAGTCAGTGATGCCATCCAACCATTTCATCCCCCGCTGCCCCCTTCTCCTTTTGCCTTCAATTTTCCCCAGCAACAGAGTCTTTTCCAGTGAGTCAATTATTGGCATCAAGTGGCCAAAGTATTAGAACTTCAGCTTCTGCATCAGTCCTTCCAATGAGTATTCAGGGTTGATTCCCTTTCAGATTGACTGGTTTGATCTTGCTGTGTTTACAGCTTGTAAACTACTTTCACATCCATGACCTCCCTTGGTTCTCACAACAGTCCTGGAAGGAAAGAAGGAAGGAAGGAATGAAGAAAAGAAGGACAGAAAGCTATTTCTTTCTTGGTTCTACAGATGAAGAGATGCTGCTTCCTGAGACTCACAGCTGGGAACCTGGTGGGGAATAGGGCTGGATCCCCAGATGTGTGCCAGGATTGTTCACATTCAGAACCTAAACTCTCCACTGGGTACATGCCACAAGGCAGGCACTCTACTCAGGAGCTTCAGCATAGATTATCTCATTTCATTTGCACGACTACCCATATGTTGTTGGGGGGCGGGGGATGAGCAGTGGGAAGCCAAGGCTCCGGGGATATGGATCCAGCAAGGTTGTGCCAGTGGCAAGCCGCCAGGCCAGGACTTGAATCCAGAACTTACTCCAAAACCAGCACTCTCCCTCTCCCTCCCAGCTGCCTGTCAAACCCCAAATCTGCATCTCCTTTGGCTCAGAATTTGTCATGTGTCAGCCTGATGGGTGTCAGGGAGACGTGATTTGCTCTGTGACATCTCCACATGTATGGATGAGCTATTCAGAGCCAGACACTCCTGTTCATCCTATTAAAGCCCACTGCGGTGTCAGGGGTTGTGGGAACAAGTGATGATGACAGTGATGCTGACAGTGGCAATGTAAGAGTGATAGTGGCGGCAGCAGCTTACACCTGTACGGAGCTTACTGTGCTACTCATTGTTCACTTCAGTTCAGTCGCTCAGTCGTATCCGACTCTTTGCAACCCCATGAACCGCAGCACACCAGGCCTCCCTGTTCATCACCAACTCCCGGAGTCCACCCAAACCCATGTCCAAGTCAGGATAAACGAGAACTCATTTTTATCCTCTGCATAACTCAATGAAGTCAGCCTATAAGTGGATCATTTTAATGTCCATGGCATGCATGTGCTCAGTCATGTCCAACTCTTTGTGGTTCCATGGACGGTAGCCCACCAGGCTCCTCTGTCCATGGGATTCTCCAGGCGAGAATACTGGAGCGGGTTGCCATTCCCTTCTCTAGGGGATCTTCCCAACCCAGGGATCGAAACTTTCTCTTGCATCTCCTGCATTGGTGGTGGATTCATTACCACTTAATGTCCAGCATCTTATAAGACACATCCCATGCTCTTTGGCAATGTTAGGACCATTTGGGATATTTTCTTTCGATGAGGGGCCCTGACTTCCAGCATCCCCACCATCATCCTGTGACCAACACAATCTCCTCTCCTTCCTCAGGTTCTTGACAACCTGGACAGTCACCTGAAGAAATCCGAATACTTCCGCTTTCTCTGGTTCCCACACAGCGAAAACGTCAGTGTAATCTACCAGGACCACACCACCAAGGTAGCCGTGGGCATCTTCCCCACCACCCCCCACCCTCCACTGCCCAGCTCCCAGAGCACCTAAAGCCCGTTACCATCCTGATGATCGGTGAGAGGTGAGAGGAAAAGCAAAGGGTGAGCATCCCTGAGCATGAAGAGGGGAGCACTAAATGCCAGAGGGTGGAAGGAAGAGGGAAGGTGGTCCCAGTAAGGGTCCGTGAGTCTGTGAGGAGGGATACAGGGGTAGGAGGTCAAGGGACAATGCAGATGTGGGAAGCAAAGATGGAGGTGTGGGCAGGACAGGCTACTGAGTCCTAAGCAGTCAGGATAGACCTCAGGAGCCAGCTAGCACATCCCATCTTCCCTCCAGCACCCCATCCTTCCCACCCCCAGGGAAAGAAACCCATGGTTTTGTCTCCCCACCTCCATGTCCTTGGCAAACAGGCTGCTTCTCAGCAGAATAAAATAAAGCCATCACTTAGGAAGATGTTGACCAGACAAGTCAGGCGAAGGCCAGAACACCTACTATGTGTATGGGGCTGGCATGGGGTTCATAAAGGGTGATTGCCAGACACCAGGCTCATCAGCTCTGCAGAGAAGATACACAGGCACTTCTTGGTCTTAAGCAAAACAATCACATAAGCATGAAACAGAAGGGGACAGGTCATGGGAATCAGCAGTGCCACCAGGAATGAGGCTTTCAGTCGTCCTGGCCAGCGGGTCCCCCCTCCCCCAGCACACACACACACACAGCTTCTCCTGGGACACTCAGTTCCAGCTCGGAACTGACCACAGACTCTGCTTCCCAGCCGCCCTCCTCTTCAGCCAACTGGTTCTGGGACTACGCTATTGGATTCTACTTATTGGAGTTCCTACTCTGGATCAGGTAGGAATGCCACTGTATCTTTTCCCAGCACCTGCCATCTACTGCTGGGGATGTGGTCCATCAGAAGAACAACATCCCACCTTCAGACATGCAAACTGGGTCTGTCTGCACAGTCCAGAGCAGTGAATTCCAATCCTGGGGAGCTTGTTTTTAAAAATACCCATGTCCAGGTTGCACACCCTGGCTCATAGGTGATGTGAACCTTCATATTGTCCAGTTTCTTACCTCCTTCCCAGCCTGAAGTCTGTGCTCAGGCTCAAGCATCCAGACACATAACTATGAGTGATGAGGAAGGCCTTATAGGTCCTTGAGCAGTGACACTATATTCAGCTAAGATGTGGAATGGCATCTGGTAAAAACTTTTGAAATGTTTCATACGCATAAATAATATAGGCAGCACATATGTAAAGTATGTTGCTGTTGTTGTTGTTCAGCCACTAAGTTGTGTCAGACTCTTTGAGACCCCCTGGACTGTAGGCCAGCAGGCCCCTCTGTCCATGGGATTTCCCAGGCAAGAATACAGGAGTGGGTTGCCATTTCCTGCTACAGGAGATCTTCTTGACCCAGGGATTGAACCCACTTCTTTTGTGTCTCCTGCATTGACAGGCAGATTCTTTACCACCTGGGAAGCCCTTATGGTGTATAGACATATTTAAACTTATTGTTAAGTGTATCCATCTATTCTTTTATCTTGGAGACTTTGGTGTCTTATTAAAGACAGTGAGTCCAGCCTGGAGGCCATTGCTCCATCAGATGATGGATCGGCGGTGAGAGTGGAAAATGCCCAGCCAGACTTCTCTCCCCTTCCATCACAGCAGCCTGGCAGCTTTATGTGCCTGTGTCTGTTGAGTCCAAGGCAGAAAGCATCCAAATAAATTGAGCTCTAAATCACAGTGGCCACATCCCGGGCAGGGACGTATGCTCTGAGGGAGCTCCATGGCCTCTGAGCCCCACCCATGTGGTTCTCACTTAATGGCCTCTGGAAACCACGTCCACTTGGCCTCACTCTTGCAGCTCTGGGCCGCTAGCTGGGCCATGTGCCCAAGGATGCAGCAGTGAAAGCTAAATAATGGATTGGGTCTTGGTGAATTGGCTTCCCTGGTGGCTCAGTGGCAAAGAACCCGCCTGCCAATGCAGTAGATGGAGGTTCGATCCCTGGGTCAGGAAGATGCCCTGGAGGAGGAAATGGCAACCCCCTCCAGTATTCTTGCCTGAGAAACCCCATGGACAGAGGAGCCTGACGGGCTACAGTCCACAGGGTCACAGAGACTCGGATGCAACTTAAGATGCATGCACTGTTGGTGAGAATGTAAACTGGAGCAGCCACTATGGAAAACAGTATGAGGTTCCTCAAAAAGTTAAAAATAGAATTTCTCTTATGACCCAGCAATTCCACCTCTGACTATATGTCACAAAGAACTGAAAGCACAATTTCAAAGAGATATTTGCACATTTGTGTTCCCAACCTAAAAGTGAACATAACTATCCAACTGATGACTAAACAAAATGGGACATATATAAAAAAAAAAATGGGACATATAGCTATGCAATGGAAAACTATACAGCCTTTAAAAAGGAAGGAAATTCTGACACAGACTACCATGTGAATGAATCTTGAAGACATGATGATAACTGAAATAAGCCAGACACATAAGAGGACACATATTGAATGATTCCACTTATATGAGGCAGCCAGAGTAGTCAAATTCATAGAGATGAGAAGTATGGAAGGCTGCCAGAGAATAATGGAGGTTGCTGGAGGCTGGAGGGAGGGAGAAATGGGGAGGTAGTTTTTAGTGGAGACAGAGTTTCAGTTTTGCAAGATTCTGGAGATCCACTGCTCAGTCATGTGAATATACTTAACACTACTGAACTGCACACTTAACAATGGTTAAGAGGGTAAATTTTATATTTTGTGGTTTTTTCTTTTATATCACAATTAAGATGAAACACTTTAACACTAAAAACAACCTAGTCATTAAAGAGGGAGAGAAGAATAAAATGTAGGCTAAAATCCATAATTGGAGCCCCGGTCAGCCACAGAGAGAGTGATGCAGGGGGACCTTCACATTCCCTGGAGGGATTTCCAGGCTGCAGATTAGCACACGTGGCACAGAATGTAGAGAATGAGGCCCCGGTGTGTAAAGGACTCGGTCCACTGCCCGCAACACAGCCAGTACTTACCCACTGCTGGACAATTTGATGATCACGACCCCTATGCCCTGCCCCCCAGCACCTTCTTGCCAGGCCTTGTGGGCTGGATCAATCGCTTTTTCTTCTGGCTCCTGTTCAACGGGAAGAAGGAAAACTGCAACCTCAGCCACAAGATCTTCACCTACGAGTGCCGCTTCAAGCAGCATGTCCAGGACTGGGCCATCCCCAGGTAAGGGCTGAGCGGGCCACCCTGCGGGTGGGTCAGCAACATATAGCTCCCTTTGGGTCCTGCTCACAGCCATCCTACCTGTTATTTCTGGGGGAAACGGGAAGTTCTGAGTCCCCATGCAGCGTCCTAGTACCATTGTGGCTCTCGGGAAACCAGCCATGGGGTCCACTCCACTCTCCCCATGGGCCCCTCTCCAGCCGTGAGGCTGGGAGAGCAGGTTTAGACTGAAACGTGGGGCTCTGTGGCCAGCATCTGGTTCTTCTGAAAGACTGTACCTGTGTTCAGGCTCTCCGTTAACACAGCCCACCTGGCAGACTGGGGGCCTCTTCATGGGGAGGGACCCCCTTGAGACGGAGGCTAGGTTTGTACCCTACTCGCTGCAGCTTCCTCTCTGAACTGCCCCTCTCTGTCTTTCTCCAGGGAAAGGGGGATCAGTGCTCAGGGCTTAGGGGATCCCTCCGTCAGTGTTCAGGGGCTGGGGCCACCAGACTCTCAGGGCTGGGCTATTAGAAAAATTAGGCATCTTGGCATCAGAGTGGCTTGATCCTGTCTGAAGAAGGGGAGGCCAGGGCCTGGGACAGCTGTGGCCAGAGAAGAGCCCGGAGGAGAGCCCCCAATTGGGCGGGGGTCCTGGGGGCTGGGGCAGGAGCAGGAGGTAGCTCTCTGCTTCCGGAGGACTTTAAGAGCAGAAGCCATGAGGAAGGGGCTTCCTGGAGGCCGTGCTGAGCCTCACGGAACATCTCCGGAGGCCCCTTCCTCAGGTCTGGGTTCCATCCCCTCTCCCACCCCGGGCCGAGGGCAGAGAGAAGACCAAAGAGGCCCTGCTGGAGCTGAAGGCCATGCTGGAGGCGAACCCCAAGGTGGTGGCCCACTACCCCGTGGAGGTCCGCTTCACTCGCGGGGACGACATCCTGCTGAGCCCCTGCTTCCAGCGCGACAGCTGCTACATGAACATCATCATGTACAGGTGAATGGCTGGCTCGGGGCGGGGCGGGGCGGGGCTGCGGAAGCAGGTAGTGAAGGGGGCGGGGCTGTGGAAGCAGCTCCTCCGCTTCAAAGGGCCCCTCCCTCCTTCCCCAGCTTTCAAGGCCAGTTCAAATGCCACCCTCTCCAGGGAGACTTCCCTGGTCTTAGCAGCAGAAAATAGTCTTTCTCTCCTTCCAGTTCCAACAACTACCCTTTCTACCTTGTACTGTGTTAATGCAGTCATTAATGTTAATTAATATGTAATATTACTGTTAATTATTTATATGTGGTAACTATAATTGTTAATGTTATTATTAATATGTACTATTAATTAATATGTAATACATAATGGGCTCCCCTGGTGGTAAAGAATCCACCTGCCAATGCAGAAATCACAGGTTCGATTCACTGGGTCCAGAAGATTCCCCTGGAGGAGGGCATGACAACCCATTCCTGTATTCTTGCCTGGAAAATCCCATGGACAGAGGAGCCTGATGGGCTAGAGCTTGTGGGATCACAAAGAGTCAGACACAACTGAGTGACTGAGCATTCAGCCAAATGTTAATGTGAATATGCAAAGCTACCCTTTGCAAAACTGATATTAAGGAATGACAAGTTTATGCTGTCTCATGTGCAGCCCTAAGCAATGATTCTGAGAGTCGGAAACATTGAGAAGGACTGTGAGGCCAGGTTTCAGTTCAGCAGAAAAGAGAGTTATGCCTAGATGAGGTAACCATCTAACCAGCTCTCACCAGGCCCATCTAACCAGCTTCACCGGGCCATAGGCAGATGCCTTATGCTCATACTGTTTTTGTTTCCTGAAGTGGTTGGGCAATGACCTCCCACATGAGGCTTATGGACACACACAGTTTAAGAAACTCATCATTTCTAAAACTTCCTGCTTAAGACACATCTTTCTTCCTTCCCATCCACCACTGATAATAGTCCTTCCCTGACTTTGTAAAAGACAAACAGACCACCTCTCACCCAGCCTGAATCTTACTATGCTTTATTACTCCAGTCTGTAAAATACCCCCAAACTCAGGGGATCCCAAGGGACAGTTTAAGAGGGCGCAGTCCTGGAGTGGGGTGGTCCGGAAGCCAGAAAAGAGAATTTCAGAAACCCACATCACACAGGAGGCAGCTTATTTCACGCAGGGACAAACTTAGGGCCCAGCTCAGTCCTCAAGCTGTCTGTCCGTTTTGTCCCTGCCTGTGAATGCAAATTCAGAAGCAAGAAAATTCCCCTGGGGCTGCATCATAACATTTGAGTTTTTGCGACTTCTGACTCTTCTCTGTCAGTAAGTCTGACTTTGCAGCAAGGACTGACCAGCTAGGTTACATTGGCTGTGATTTCCATACATCAAATGAGGTGATTCTGATAGAAATATTTATATATCTATCTATTTATTTATTATAAAGCTTTTTTTGTATATATCTTTTAAATAATCTTTACATTAAATTTTTTAAATTTACATTTTAAACTATTCAGGTTTAAAATTCAAATCTTTAAATAAGTGTATGTGCTGTGCTTAGTCACTCAGTCATGTCCAACTCTTGCAACCCTATGGGCTGTAGCCCACCAGGCTCCTCTGTTCATGGGATTTTCCCTCTGTTCATGGGACTTTCCAGGCCAAAAATACTGGAGTGGGTTGCCATTTCCTCCTCCAGGGAATCTTCCCAACCCATGTCTCCTGAGTCTCCTGCATTGGCAGGTGGATTCTTTACCACCAAACCACCAGGGAAGCCCAAATAAGTGTGTGTGTGCATATACACACACACACACAGAGGGAAAAAATGTATTAATTTAAAATTATTCACACTCATACACATGGGGTTGCAAAGAGTCGGACTTGAGTGACTGAACAACAAAACTACAGCAACGTGCAGCTGACAGTTAAAATATATGTAAGAGGTTGTGAGCTTTTTCAAAATCCTTCCGAGCAAAAGCTGCAGGGTGCTGAGTCACCGCTATCCCGCCCTGTGGACGAGTGCTGGGCGAGATGCCTGATAACCACGGGTGAGCCCACACAAGACAAGCGCGTGGCCTCGCCTCCTCCTGCCCCCTCCTCAGGCCCTATGGTAAGGACGTGCCGCGGCTGGACTACTGGCTAGCCTACGAGACCATCATGAAGAAGGTGGGAGGCAGGCCCCACTGGGCCAAGGTAGGACGCGTCTGTCGGAGCCTCCCCGTGGGTGGGAGCCGGGCAGCGACTGTGAGCCAGGGCTTCCACCAGAGGGCGCCCCTCTTCCCTATGGCCCTGCCTGCCCAGGGCTCCAACCTCGTGGGGAACCCGCGAGCTCAGCAAGTCATAGGAAGGAGGACCTCCACTACCTTAGCCAGACCAGCTTCTCTGCATTCATGTTCCCTTCGAGCTTTTAGTGCTCACCTTTCATTTTATTTAATTCTCATAGAAACCCTATAAGCAGGATAAGGCAATGAGTCCATTCAGCAGACAGGAAACTAGGGGTCTCTCAGAGATGATGGGACTAACTAATTAGCAGTAGAACTGGGCCAGAGCCCCCTCCACTGCCTGATGGCAAATGAAACGGGAACTTTAACACTGCATTTTAACTCCTTCCTTCTCTACTTTCCAAGAACTTCCTCCCTCCTGTTTGGGTTCTTTACATTACATGTGTATGTGCATGCATGCATGTTTGTGTGTGTGTGCATATGTGCACACACACCACACGTGGGCTTGTGCATGAGCCTATATGCATGTATGCATGTGCATACATGCACACATGGATGTGGGTACGCGCGTGTGTGCATGCATGTGTGTGAGTGTGTGCATGCATATACCTGCACGAGTGTGCTCTCTGTGTGCCTAGGGATGGGGGACCACACATGCACACACACAGACACAGGTTTGCAGCCCCGCTGAAATGCCAGCTCCAGGAAACAAAGCCTGTTGTCTCCGGTTGCTTCCTCAGGCCCACAACTGCACCCGGAAGGACTTTGAGAAAATGTACCCAGCCTTCCAGAGGTTCTGTGCTATCCGAGAAAAGCTGGACCCCACAGGGATGTTCCTGAACGCCTATCTGGAGAAGGTGTTCTACTGAAGCACAAACAGAAAACAAGCCTAGCCCACCTCATCCCACCTCCAGGCCCACCTCCCACAGGGTTGAAGGCTCAGCGTCCCGCTGTCCTGATGGGGAACAGACATCTCCCCTGGGGCCCTCTGCCAGGACACCCACCGCTGCTCTGACCCACAGCAAGGAACCTGGGTCTGGGCATCCCCTACCTCCTTCATCCTCGCAGCACCCCGTGTAAGGAAGAGCACCAAATTCCTTTACTTCTCCAGCAGCATCCTCTTAGCCCAAGCCTGCAGTCACCACATCCCGTTCCCAGGAGACAGAGAAGCTCCCAAATGTTCTGTGTGTCTAGGAGGATTCTGCCAGTCTCAGGTTCCACCCGCCCTGCCCACCCTCCTAGGGAGGAGTCCCACCAGCATAGCTTTAGACACAGAGGTCATGTGTGCTGTGCCCTGCTTTCTTTCACCCTCAAGGGTCTTTAAGATGCTCAGAGGCATGTGCCCTGTCCTGGGACTGTCCTCTTCCAGGGGGTCCACTAGTCCGCCTGACCTCCCATAGCCCAACCTGCAGCCTGTCTATTCCAGGGATGTTTGGAAAGGGGGACTTTCCTTGCCTTCTTTTTAATAAAGGCCAAGAGTTCACTTAGTCTCCGTTCCTTCCTCTCCATCTCCAAGGTAATCCTTTGGGAGCAGAAGGCTCCCTGATTCCCCAGCTTCCCTCCAGGGTCTTGGACTTGCCTGGAAAATGCTCTTCATATTCCTTTTGCAGTTTCAAGTGGCCTCTGACCTCCCACATGTTGTGGCTAGTCTTTCACAAAGCTTTTGTTGAATATCTACAAGGTGCCAAGTGCCTTAGGGGAATTAAAAGAACCTTAAGTCAGGCTCCTGGATCAAGAAATGTATATTCTAGTCATATATCTCATAAGAGGCTAATATGCAGAAGATACAAAGAACACCTACAATTTATCAACACAAAAACAAACTAATCAAAAATGGACAAAGGACTTGAATACACATTTCTCCAAAGAAAATATACAAATTGTCAATAAGCACATGAAAAGATGCTCCACATCACTAATCATTAAGGAAATGAAAATAAAATCACAATGAGAAGTCACTTTACTTGCATTAGGATTACTCTTTTCAAAACAACAACAGAAAATAACAAGTGTTGTCAAGGTCATGGAGAAATTGGAATCTGTGTGCATTGCTGGTGAAACTGTAATAAAATGGTGCAGCTGCCAAGGAAAATAGTACAGAGGTTCCTCAAAAAACATAAAACATGATCCAGCAATTCCACTTCTGAGCATACACCCAGAACAACTGAAAGCAGGGGCTCAAACTTGTTATTTTCTGTTATTTTCCTATATTCATATCAGCATTGTTCACCATTGCCAAGAAGTAGAAGCAACCCACATGTCCACTGATGGACGGTTGGATAAGTAAAATGTGGACTCATATTCCACATACAGTGGAATAATAGACTTAAGAAGGAAGGAAATTTTGGTATATCCTACAATTAATGAACCTTGAAAGCTTTCTGCTAACTGAAATAAGCCAGTCACAAAAAAAACAAATGCTGCATGATTCCATTTATATGAGGTACCTAGAATATTCAGACTCACAGAAACAGAAAATAGAATAGTGAGTGCTGGGGGCTGGGAGGAAGGGAGCCTAGGAGATAGTTTTTAACTGGAACAGAGTTTCCAGTTGGGGAAGATGAAGAATTCTGGAGACTGGTGATGGCTTCACGATAAAGTGAATGTCCCTGGGACTTCCCTGGCGTCCAGTGGCTAAGACTTTGCACTCAGCGCAGGGTGACCAGGTTCAATCCACACCACACGCTGGAGTGAAGACCCAGTACAGCCATATAAATAAATAAATATTAAAAAATAAAATAAAGTGAATGTACTTAATGCCATTGAACTGCACACTGAAAAATGGTTAAAATGGTACATTCTATGTTATATATATTTCTACGCCAATAAAAGTAAAGCAATGTATATTCTAATTCAGGGAAACAAGACTAACATTCATAGGACATTAAATAGCCATGCCAAGGAGTGTGTGATGAAGTGTCAGAGAAATGGCACAACCATGGAGACCTGGTCAGTCCCCATGGACTCAACTTCCCCAGAGAGACTGGCTCACGATCCGAGTCCATGGTTTCAAGAGTAAAAACTACACCTTAGGTAGGACAGGCTATGTCAATCACAGGGCCCAGCGCAAGACGGTGAAGAATTTCAAGAAGACGACTATACTTCAATTAAAAAACAGATTTCAAGAGGATGGCAACAGAGCATTCAACCAGGCACAACGGCCTTCTGGGACATTCCTGCTGGTCCAGTGGTTAAGACGCCACACGCCAATGCAGGGGCCATGGGTTGGATCCCTGGTTAGGGGACTAAGATCCCTACACGGTGCAACCAAAACTAAAATACACAATTAAAAAGCACAGCACTGGCTGAGCTAACCTAGGAAGCCAGCCCTGCTACCCACCACCAGACACGGCCGGTAGGCACATGGCACCTTACTGGACAACAGTCTGAATCGTTTCATCAAACACTAACCTAGGGGTTGTTCTGAAGGTATTTTGTGGAAGCACTAAGCATCTACAGTGAGTTAATTTAAAGGAAATGACCCTCAGTAATGTACTGATGCTGAAGCTCCAATACTTTGGCTACCTGATGCAAAGAGCCAACTCATTGGAAAAGACTCTGATGCTAAAGATTGAAGGCAAAAGGAGAAGGGGGTGGCAGAGGATGAGATGGTTAGATAGCATCACCAACTCAATGGACATGAATCTGAGCAAGCTCCAGTGAGATAGTGGAGGACAGAGGAGCCTGGCGTGCTGCAGTCCCTGGGGTCAGAAAGAGTCAGACACAACATAGCAACTGAACAATAACAATGTACATGGGTGCTGGGGTCCAGCCCCGGCGGAGTCCAGGGGTTCCCTTTGGATGAGCGGTGATGGCGAAGAAAAGGAAGCGAGTCGAGTCTTGGTTGAGTGCAGAATCAAGACTACTTTATTCTTTTACATCAGTGCTTATATACCCTAAAACCAATAATCCTTTAAAGAGGTTTACGGAGGGGGGAATGATAAGATTGTACCAGGTGCATAATCATGGGTTACATCATAAATAACTTTCCAGAACAGTCAATACCTACACATAACTTTTAAACAATTCAATGGCAGCAGCTAGTCAACTGTGAAAAGCCATCTACAAACCTTATCCTGGGAAGCTCAGCCCCAGGCGGACTGAGCTCTGGTTCGTAATCCCAAGGGTCAGAGGTCTCATGAATTCCCTCCTGATCACACCCTAAGGAATCTTCTCAATCTGTAATGGACTCTACTTTTGCTTATGGGATAGATAGGCCTGTTTATTGGGACTCATGTGCCCCCAGGGACTATGTTGCTGCCATGCAAAGTTTCAAGGAGGGATTTTAGGTAAGAGTCAGACTAGTTTTTAGGGAACATAGAAGAACGCCAAGCATCAGAAGATGAAAGGACGAAGGCCTGGGAGTGGGTGGTGGGGTGGTCTCGAGAAACCCCCAAAGGTCCGGACGCCTTTGCGTGCCAGCTCCTTGAACCCAGACCTTGTCATGGGCGAGGTTTCTCTCGCCGGCTCCCGACACATGGGCTTCATGCAACAGTAGAAAGGCCTTCAAAACAAAAGTTGACATTTCTAAGAGAAGAATAAATTCTATTTCAAGAGCTGCTGGTTGAGTTTCCAACCTGTGGGGCTGCCCTATAACTGTCAGACTTGAGCCAGCTCCATGACATCAGCCTAACATAAACATGTACACTGGTTCTATTTCCCTGGAGGACCTGACTGATACATAAGGAAAGAGATGGACTGGTGATGTTAATACAAAGAAAAGCGTGGTGGGCTAAACCCTGAGGCTCGGGAAAAGATGGAGGCCAAGTCACTCCCTGTTGTACTAAGAAAACCAAGTCTCAGAGAGTTGAGGAAACTTGTTCAATGTCACACAGCAATTTAGGAGAGACAGTGCCCCTAAATATTTCAATCAAGGTACGTCTCAAAACCCATATTTTCCATAGCTCGAATTCAATTTTTAAAATCTGTGGATTTTGTATTCTATTCCATTATGTAATTGTGTTTTAAAGTTTTGAGCAATGTTTTATTTTTCAAAATTTTAGATGGCATTTCTGCCCTAGGCAGGAGTGCCATGCTTGCTGCGTGTTTTATGGCACCTTACATGAAACCCAGGACAAGCGCAGGCTTTAAGGAAGACCCAATGCAACGGCTTAAGTCCAAAACCTGAGATTCAGTTAAACGTCAACTCCTGGAATGCTGAGGTCAAAGAATATTCTGGAAATAGACTTTCTAACTACCAGAGAACCCGAGGCCCCTTCCTAGATCAGGCTTTTGATGAATTATAATTTAGTCTTCCTTTGATTTGAGACCTTTTAAAGCCTGAAGGTCATCTTTTCCCCCCAAATTCTCATTGCAGAGTCCTTTTGAGACTGAGTGTATACTGAGGCCGTAAATTGTGCTCCTGAATCCACCACTGCTGCAGATCGACTTTTTCTCTCCTCCTTCGCCTCCTGCTGGCCATTGCTGGTCCAGATTCCCACTGGCTGGCTTCCCCTCTCTCCCAGTGCTGTCTTCAGGCCCAAGCCTCAGGTCATATTGTGCTTCAGTGGCAAACACTCTCCTCACCTCAGGGGACTCGGAAAATCATGGGCACTGAGATTCAGAACCTGTGCTTCGAACAGTAAACAGTGATTGTCTGCAACATCTTTGAAGTAGGCTGGAAGGATGAGGAAAAGGTCTTCCTGGGCCAGTGTGAAGCTCAGTCGCAGTACGGCATCAGGGCTGTTGGGCTGCGGGTGGCCCTCAAAGTCAAATTTGGGGTTAGCAGTCACCAGCCGAAAAGTAATATGCAGATTTCACCAAGTGGAGTGAGTGGACTGTGGGCAGCTTCTCCCCTCAGGTGGCCGCCTGGCCCCTGCACCCTACAGGTGCACAGCAGAGAAAAGGAGGGTTCCAGATGACCTCTGAG